ATGGATGGAAAATTCAGCAACTCCAAGAGTATGTTTTATAAGTTTCCAGACCTTGTGAAATAACTTAAATAGGTTTGGCAATATGTGGTTTATACCTACTGAAATCTCAAAAGCTGAAGTGACAAACTGAAAAAGAATTCCCATGATCAGCGGTTAAGGATAACAAGTGCTTGAGCAAAATAAATTATGCAAAAACAAACATAAAAAGTTGTCCCTCCACTTTTGCAGATTTGATTATTAGTGAATTTGTATAAAATGCTCTCTCTAAGAATCTCTAGGTTCACCAGTGTGAGACTACAGTCATTTTGGAGGACCTAGAGATTTCTTGACAGAACACCTCTCCAGGAATCTCTATGTCCTACGATGCAATTCTATAGTCAGCTTCCAGCAGAAGTCAAGCATTGAGTCATGCTGGAAGACCCAGAAATTGCTACAGAGGTGTTCTCCTAGGTTAAAAATAAATAGCCTTAGAAAAATCTTGCAAATCTCCTGGGAAGAGAGAGGGACATAAGCATTCTGGAAAAAGCAAAAGCCACCAACACCGAACCAATGATTCTCCACCACCAACCTCGCTGGAACGACCACATTCTCCAAATGACTGATCAGGGTCACCCAAAGCACTTATTTTACTCTCAGTTCAAGAACAGAAAACAAAATGGTGAAGAATAAAAGTGATTTAAAGATGGCCTTAAAGTTAACCTAAAACAGTGCTATGGATTTTGAAGAGGCACAAAACAAAGGCGAAAGGGAGAAACGTGCCAAGAGGAAGTAAACTCTTGTCGGGACCACCTTCCACCTGGAAATATATGTCCTCACTGCTAAAGTCCATGCAAATCCAGAATAGGTCTCAACAGTTACTTACGGACCCACCGCCAAAGCTCTACCCATAGAAGACAATCATACTCATCCGCAAGTAATAGCCTATGATGATGATTAAGCTATTTCTAATGCTTATACGGAATCTTTTTTTCTTTTTTCTTTTTTTTTTTTTTTGGAAGTTGAATCCATTGTTTATCCTAGCTTCTGGAATAGCATATTCTATAAACTTAGATCCAAACACACTCATGTTTACATGCAGAATTTCGTTCAGACTTCTTGGGAACCATTTGCTTACTTCGGACATTCTCGGCACAGATACCATTCCAACTATACATTCTATCTGATGGAGGACATCTCATTACATGAATTTGATACAATAATTTAATGATCCCATAACTGTTCATAATATTAAATTCACACCCACTGAGGCTATAATCCATGATTGCATTTGCTCATGGACCATGGTTATAGGCATTAACAGTACACTGCGGTAGCACAGCAGGTTAAACTGCCAGCTGCAGGAAAATCTGCTGACAAAAGGGTTAGCAGTTTGAAGTCATGAGTCGGGGTGAGCTCCTGGCTACCAGCCTAGCTTCTGCCTATCAACCAGTTTGAAAGCATGTAACGCGAGTAGATCAATAGGTCAGAGGAGAGGTAAAAGGGCGCCCCATGCAAACATGTCAGCAACATGATCGGAGAAGTCTATGGCCAAGAGGCACCTCAGCAAGTAAAAATGGAACAGGAGCACTGCCTCATGGCCAGAGTGGGCATCACCTCCAGACGCCGGAGATGGGAGGGAAGGCCTTTACCTCTGTCTATATATTGTATGTCATTGCATACTGTGTAGACGGGCACTGAATGTTTGCCTTATATACGTAAAACTGTAATCTGCTCTAAGTCCCTCCGGTAAGATAAAGCGCAATATGAATAACTTACTAGTAATTATGGATATTCTTTAAAAATCATTATAGTTTTCATCCTCTCAAACAGTTAAATAGGAAGAAAGCAGCTAACATACGTACCATTCCCCCAACACTTTAGGCTTTAGTTCCTGAAGTGATTTTGTTTTCCGGATGTTGTGTGGTTTCCGGGCTGTATGGCCATGTCAAAGCAGCATTTTCTCCTGACATTTGTAGCTGGCATCTTCAGAGGATCTGATTGTGGTAAAGCAAGTGCAGTTATTCAGAGTGGGAGAAAGAACCAATGTTTGTAAACCAAGTGTGAAGGGTGCAGTTAAAAAGCTTGATTTGTAAGTGCTTGAATTGGATCCATCCATTAGCAGGTGAGTAGCTATAAGATCGCTTAGTGTAGGGTAGCTATAAGATCAATAGTGAAGGCATCTGCCTAGAAGAAGCTTGGAGCAAAGGTTCTTTCTCCCACCCTGGACATCCCACAGGGGTGCGTGTGTGTGTGTGTATGTGTATATATATATGTGTGTGCGTGTGTGTGTGTGTATGTGTATATATATATGTGTGTGCGTGTGTGTGTGTGTATATATATATATACACACACATACATACATACATACACACACACACACACATACTCCACTTGATTCACCACCATCAGATCCTCTGAAGATGCCAGCCATAGATGCAGGTGAAATGTCAGGAGTAAATGCTAGAACACAGCCATACAGCCCAGAAACCACACAAAACTTCAACAATACATTGATCTTGTTTTCAGCTGAGAATTTTAAAAGTAGTACAGTCTTATTCATCAAAACAACTGAATAAACTTGACATGTAAAACTTCTCTGGCTACGAAAGCCATGAAAACAATGATGCCAGTAGAAAAATTAACACAATTCCTAGAAGGTTTTTTTCCCCGTTTTCCTACACCAACCTGTGGTCCATGGATCACCAGTGGTCCACAAGAATTAAAATATGGTCCGCGGCCTCACCTACAGCATTGCAACAAGAGCAACTGATCTCCCAAAACCCTCTTATAGAGGCTTTTAAAATATGTTTTTCTGTTGAGCAGATGGCAACCACGGGATGGCATATGTTCAGTATCAGAAACTACAGCTGATGTGGTCTATCCAATGCAATTTTCTGAATGAGCACTTCAAATAACCAAACCAAATCTAAAGTTGACCAAAAACTGATTTGTGTCCCTTTTGGTACTAATGTTAGAGAAGAGTCCCTGGTCAAAAAAAAAACTGGGAACCACTAATCTACACTGTAGAATTAATGCAACTTGGCACTACTTTAACTGTTTAACTGTTGTGGCTAAATGCTACAGAATGCTAGGAGTTGTAGTTGGGAGAGACACAGCACTCTTTGGTAGAGAAGGCCAAAGACATTGATAAAACTACAGCTTCTAGGATTCCAGAGCACTGAGCCATCTCAGCTAAAGTGATGTCAAACTGCATTAATCCTACAGTGTAGATGCACCTTCTGTCTTTCACGTGCTTGTTGTTGACATCCATGTATTAATGATGATGCATTACAAATAAACAAATCACAAATCACTTTAATTTCTTCTTTTACAAGGAGGGAAATCCTTAAGTATCTCTTTCTTCCATGAAAGGATGAATAATTCTTTACTAATAAGGATTGAGGTAGTTTTCCTATTGGAGGAAAAAATGGAAATTCTCCCATGGTATTACCCTCACATTTGAATGCCCCAGGGTGTTGTGGAAGAGTTTTTCTGCAGAAAAAGACACATTTTTGTGCAATCTTCTTTTTTTTCTCTACAGAAAATAATGCAAAACCATTTTTTGGTTATTTTACACTCACACATAGACATAAGGCCTTGTTTTTTTCTTCCCGGCAAAACAATTATTCCACAACACAACAGGACACTGAATACTGGGACAGCCATGTATAAATACGTGAGGGGATGTCATAGGGAGGAGGGAGCAAGCTTGTTTTCTGCTTCCCTGGAGACTAGGACGTGGAACAATGGCTTCAAATTACAGGAAAGGAGATTCCACCTGAACATGAGGAAGAACTTCCTGACTGTGAGAGCTGTTCGGCAGTGGAACTCTTGGCACCAGAGTGTGGTGGAGGCTTCTTTGGAGGCTTTTAAACAGAGGCTGGATGGCCATCTGTCGGGGGTGCTTTGAATGCAATTTTCCTTGGCAGAATGAGGTTGGACTGGATGGCCCACCAGGTCTCTTCCTAACCTAAGATTCTGCTACTATTATTATTAAGAAGAGGCTGAATGGCCATCTGCCAGGAGTGCTTTGATTGTGCTTTTCCCGTCGGATTCTAAGACTCCCACTCCATGCTTCCACATACATTCTCTGGATCAAGTTTCTTCCTGAATCCTCCAAACATCATGAACAGGTTTCTGGGTGTTATGGTCTAAAATACCGCTTTTCCAAAATCAGCTCTGGATAAATGTATGAGAAGCTCATTTCACTATCAAGGTATGTTATGACCCATATACTTCACCATGGGTGCGCCTACGCTATAGAATTAATGCGGCTTGACACAACTTTGAGTGCCATTGCTCAGAGCTAGGGAATCCTGGGAGTTGTAGTTTTTGGGGGGCACCAACAAAGTGTATGTATAAGAGGCCTGGGCAAATTGGGCCCTCCCTCCAGGTGTTTTGGACTCCAACTCCCATCATTCCTAACAGCCTCAGGCCCTTTCCTTTCCCCCCTCAGCCGCTTAAGGGGGAAAGGTAGGGGCCTGAGGCTGTTAGGAATGGTGGGAGTTGTAGTCCAAAACACCTGGAGGGCCCAAGTTGGCCCATGCATGAGCTATCTCGACCTACTAATTTGCATATGGTTTCTGATTGGCTAACCTCAACATTCTAACATTCTTAAGTGGCTAAGGGGGAAAAGGAAGGGGCCTGAGGCAGTGAGGAATGATGGGAGTTGGAGTCCAAAACACCTGGAGAGAGGGCCCAACTTTGCCCAGGCCTGCTGTTAGAATGAATGCTAACCATGTTCAGATTCCACCTGAACATCAGGAAGCACTTCCTGATGTTTGACCCTAATTGACTCTGCTGCCTGGGAGTGTGGTGGTGTCCACACCTTCCCTGGAGGTTGGGCCATCTGCCGGGAGGGCTCTGTTGGTGTCTCTCTGCCTGGACCAGATGTCCCTCGGGCTCCCATCCGGCTCTAGGAGTAAGTGATCCTAAGGCCGAGGCCAAGGCTTTGTTGTGGCCCGTCTCCCTCTCTCTTTCCCGGGCTTTTGGGAGAGCGAGGCCTCTGCGGATGCACCTACCAGGGCGGGGCTGCCGGCGCAGGTGCGGCGAGGAGGGCGGCGCGGGAAGGGAGGGAGTCCCGCAAGGGAACCCCGCTTGGCTGCCTCCTCCTCCGCCTCCTCCGCCTCCTCCTCCTCCGGGCCCGGCTGCCTGCCTCCTGGGCTCTGCCGCCAGCGGGGCCGGCGACGCCTGGCTCTAGCCGAGGGGACCCATCATCGCCGGGATGCGGCATTGGCAGGCTGCGCGGGCGCCCGCCTCCTGACGGCCGGCCGGCCTCCCCGCCCCCTCCGCCCTGTAACCCTTTGCCGGCTGGGAAAGAGGGAGGAGGGCCAATGGGAGGAAGAGACAGCCAGGAAGAGAAAGAGGGAGGAGCGCCCAGTGGGGAGGGGAGGGGAGGAGTAAGGGGAAGGAAGGACGGAAGAGGAAGGAAGGGAGGAAGGGAAAGGACGGAGAAAGAAGAGGAAGGAAGGAAGGAAGGAAGGGAGGGAGGGAGGGAGGGAGGGAGAAGGGAGGGAGGAGCGTCCAGTGGGAAGGGGAGGAGAGGGAAGCAAGGAAGACAAAAGGAGCGAGGGAAAAGGAAGGGAAAGGACGGAGAAAGAAGAGGATGGAGGGAGGAGAGGAAGGAAGGGAGACACGGGAGGAAGCAAGAGAAGGAGGGAGGAGCGCCCAGTGGGAAGGGACGGAGTAAGGGGAAGGAAGGAAGAGAAAAGGAGCGAGGGAAAAGGAAGGGAAAGGAGGGAGAAAGAAGAGGATGGAGGGAGAGGAGGAAGGAAGGAAGGGAGACACGGGAGGAAGCAAGAGAAAGAGCGCCCAGTGGGAAGAGAAGGAAGGAAGAGAAAAGGAGAGATGAAGAAGGAAGGGAAAAAAGGGAGAAAGAAGACAAGGGAAGAAGGAAGGAAGAGAAGGAGGGAGGAACGCCAAGTGGGAAAGAGATGGAGGCAGGGAGTGAAGGGGAAGAAAGGCAGAAAAAAGGAGGGAGGAAGAGGGAAGGGGAGCAGGGAGGAAGACGGAAGGAAGGGGGACAAGGGAGGAAGCAAGAGATGGAGGGAGGAGCGCCTAGTGGAAAGGGGAGGGAGGGGAAGGAAGGGAAAAGGAGAGAGGAAGGGAAATAAGGGAGAAAGAATAGAAGGGAAGACGGAAAGAAGGGGGACAAGGGAGGAAGTAAGAGAAGGAGGGAGGAGCGCCCAGTGGGAAAGAGATAGAGGGAGGGAGTGGAGAGGAAGGAAAGGAGGAGAAAGGAAGAGAGGGAAGGGAAAGGGGGGAGGAAGAAGAGAAGGTAAGACGAAAGGAAGGGAGACAAGGCAGGAAGCAAGAGAAGGAGGGAGGAGCGCCCAGTAGGAAAGAAGAAGGGAGGAGAAGGAAGGAAAGGGAGGGAGGAAGAAGGAAGGGAAAGGGGGGAGAAAGAAAAGAGGGACGAATGAAAGACGAAAGAAAGGGAGGAAGCAAGAGAAGGAAGGAAGACAAGGGAGGAAGAGATGGAGGGAGGAGCGCCCAGTGAGAAAGAAAGGGAGGGAGCAAAGAGGAAGAAAGGAAAAGAAAGAGAGGGAGGAAGAAGTGAGGGACGAATGAAATATGGGAAGGAAGGAAGGAAGGAAGAGATGGAGGGAGGAAGTGCCCAGTGGGAAAGAAAGGGAGTAAAGGGGAAGGAAGGGGAAGGGAAGGAGTAAGAAGTGAGGGACAAATGACAGAAGGGAAGAAAAACAAGGGAGGAAGCAAGAGAAGGAAGGAGGAGCATCAAGTGGGAATGAGACGAAGGGAGAGAAGGAAAAGAAAAGGCGGGAGGAAGAGGGAAGAGAAGGGAAGACAGAAGGAAGGAAGACAAGGGAGGAAAAAGAGAAGGAGGGAGGGGCGCCAAGTGGGAAAGGGAGGGAGGGAGTGAAGGGAAAGGAAGAGAAAAGGAGGGAGGACTAAGGAAGGGAAAGCGAAGAGGAAGAAGAGAAGGAAGGAACAGGAAGAAGCAAGAGAAGGAGGGAAGAGTGCCAAATGGGAAAGAGATGGAGGGAGGGAGTGAAGGGGAAGGAAGGGAGGAAGCAAGAGAAGGAAGGAGGAGCACCAAGGGAAGAGAATGGGGAGAGAAAGAAGAGAGGGACGAATGAAAGATGGGAAGGAAGGGAGGAAGCAAGAGAAGGAAGGAGGAGCACCAAATGGGAAAGAGATGGAGGGAGTGAAGGGAAGGAAGAAAAAAGGAGGAAAAAAGGAAGGGAGGGGGGGGAGAGAGAGAGAGAGAGAGAAAGAAGACAAAGGAGCAAATCCAACCTGAACTCTTTCTAGAAGTCAAGAGGCCTAAGCTGATGCTATTATACATGGTTCATTGGGAAAAGTTATAAATCAGAAGGCATTCAGGAAAGAAGATCACATTACAGATGGATTGTCATACTTGCAAGGCCAAATCAGGGCTGTAGATGGCAGGAGCATTTGGACGACTCTTTCATAGGGGTGTCACAAATTGAAGCCAACTCAACAACAAATGTCAACAACAAAAATTCCATTAAAACAACAATACACTGTTTCAGTTTAAAAGCATTTAAAATAATAATGAGAATAAAAATGCAATACAACATACATCAACTCATTTTAAAAACTCTTCTGAAAAACTGGAAAGCCAAAATATTGTCCTAAAAACAATCGGCTGTGGCGCAGCTAGTTAGTAGCCAGCTGCATTAAATCACTACTGACCGAGAGGTCATGAGTTCAAAGTCAGCCCGGGTCGGAGTGAGCTCGCGATCATGAATAGTCTAGCTTGCTGTTGACCTATGCAGCCCAAAAGACAGTTGCATCAGTCAAGTAGGAAATTTACGTACTGCTTTATGTGGGGAGGCTATTTTAACTAAAGTACGACACCATAAAGCCTTCCAGCAGCACGCATAAGAATGAGGAAGTGCTCCATCAAGGACTCGGTGTCATAAGTGGACGGTGAAGAGGCAGCTGCCCCCTGTGGCCAGAATTGAGCATACCCTCCTGAAGCCGGAAAGCTGGAATGTTAAATTGCCTCTGTGTCTGCTTATATATGTTGTATGTCTAATAGCATTGAATGTTTGCCATGTATATGTGCATTGTAATTCGCCCTCAGTCCCCTGCAAGGTGAGAAGGCTGGAATACAAATTCTGTAAATAAAATTAAATAAAAACAATGCATAAAGCATCCCTGAACCATGAAACTCACTGGATAACTTTGGGCCTGTCACTCTCAGCCTAATCTACATTGCAGCCAAGAAAAACAAATATGATTGGATGAATACTGACTTGTAGTGGTATCCAAATCATTAATGGGATATCGTTAGTGAGGAGCATAATGTATCCAAAAAGTTTCATAAAGCAAAATGTCAGGAGAGAATGCTTCTAAAATAGTGATGGGCAACCTTTTGAGCTTGGTATGTCAAATTCCCCCCCCCCCCCAAAAAAAAAAAACAAGCATACCTCGGGTGGGATGTTACTTTGAGGAAAAAAACCCATAATTTCACAATATTTATAGTTTAAATAACAAAAAAGTATAATTGTAATATAAAACTGTATTTAATAAATGGCAATCACAGGGACCCCAGAGATGTGTCCCCTGCGGCATTCTGCTGCTCCCTGCTCCTCTGGATGCAAGTGAGGTCAAAGATCCCCTAACAGCCTAACTGGAAGTCCCAGAACTAGATGCTCTGTGTTGGAATTCTGTTGTTTTGGTTTACAGACCTCCAGCACAGAGTTTCTACACAACAGCAAATGTTTCATCCTTGGCTACTGCACCTGGCCATGCAGTAGCTAAGGATTAAATGTCCATCTCGGCATGTGGCCCCATATTTCTCTGTATGCAGCCATGTGTCATCGAAAATGGCTACGCATGTCAGTACTGACACTCATGTCATAGGTTCGCCATCATGGTTCTGGAACATGGCCATACAGCCAGAAAAACCTGCAACAACCCGGTGATTCCGGCCATGAAAGCCTTTGACAATATATTTTAATGACAATTTATTTAGCCCATTGGAAATTGGTATTGAGTAAAATGCATAAATCTGTGAAGATTTTTAAAAAGGTATGAAATAAATCATTTCGGATAAAAAAACACACATCTTTTGCCACTTGTCAAAAGTTAAATCTTTTGAACATAAATTTACCTCCACCTGTCACGTCTCTTATGAATGTTTTTTTCTATTTGCTGAAAGCACATAAAAGGGGAAAAGTGAGCCATTTATGCAAAGTGCAAATGTTAGTGTACTGCAGCTGATTTTCATGATAATCAAATCAGGTTTCCTGGTTTTGTGGATCTTGTGTCAGGCAAGCCCCTCTGAAGGAACTAAGTGATTCAAATCATGCCTGTTCCAGGATGTGCCTGTGGAAGTCAGCTTTGTAAATAGGCTGGGGCTGTCAGGCAATGGGCTTGGAGGATGGATATGAGGCATCAATTCTTTGCTCAAGGAAACATAGGCCATACCTATGTTTTGGCTATAGTGGTATTGTAGCAAGACAATGGGAGTTTCATTTTCTGAATACTAAAGCATTTGTTCAAATGCATTACACCTATTTCTTGAATAGGCTTTGCATATATACATGATTAAGACATAAACTGATTAAGACACATGCTCCAAAAGGCACCACTACTATTCACCATATTTTTCTTTCTCAGCATATCCAATGCGTTCTATTTTAGAAAGCATATTTAGACAATTAAATTCTGAATTAGTGCAAGATTTTGTTTTTTTATATATATTTTTGTCGTGTCAGGAGCAACCGCTCCTGTTGTGAGAGAATTGGCCGTCTGCAAGGACGTTGCCCAGGGGACGCCTGGATGATTTTTGATGTTTTATCATCCTTGTGGGAGGCTTCTCTCAGCATGAGGAGCTGGAGCTAATAGAGGGAGCTCATCCGCCTCTCCCCAGATTCGAACCTGAGACCTGTCGGTCTTCAGTCCTGCTGGCACAGTGCTTTAACCCACTGCACCACCAGGGGCAAGATGATGCATATTTACTTGGAGGGTAAATGCCCCTGCACAATCTTATAGGATTCTGGCTCTGAAGGTGGCACAGCTGAGAGCTACTCTTACTCAAATACTTATTGACTCATCCTTCTTCTTGAACGTAGTGGAATAAATCTGATCTGGACTTCCTAGGCCAGGTCAACCAACCCTGATCATCAAAATAGGGCCTGATCCTCAAAATAAGTTGGACACTCCAAGTAGCTTAATTAAACTTTAGACTAAAACCCAGAATGCATTCACCATCCCATTCTTTCTTAAATTAAATGGGAGGAGTGGTGGTGGAAGAACATCATATCGTGAAAGCAATGGTTTTCCCTGTATTTCATGATGTTACTAGCAGAAGTATTTAAAAGGAACTAATTCGTTACTACAGGCTTATCCAAAATACTTGGGATCATAAGTGTTTCGAATGTTTGATTTTCTATTTATGTATGTATTTATTTATTCGATTTTGAATTTATTTTCACTAACATCCATAATGGAGATGAGATCCATTGGTGTTTCATA